TTCTGTGTGTTCAATTTTTTATAATTTGACACCATTTCAAGTCATATAAGGGCAGCCCGGTGCACAACGTATTTTATGTTCACGTAGGGTTCGGGGAAGGACCACACCCCAATGGGGTAATGCAGACAACCTACCCTAATGCGAGCATTAGTGGTTGCTTCTCCGGCTTGAACCCGTGACCTATAGGTTAAATAGAAATAACTTTATCCGTTGCTTCGGACACTTGATTTCATATCTCGTAAAGAATTTGTTGTAAAATAAAGTAGCCAAGAGATTATTTTTCCAACTCTTTTTAGAATCAAAATGACCTGTTTACCAAAAGGAGGCTAATTTTGGTTGTTATTTTTATTGTCTTTTCGATGTTCTAGGTAAACAAAGTATTGCAAAGTAGGACACGAGAATTTCCACTCAATTGTTCATCTGGTAACCCTACAAAAACCTGTCCAGTAAATCACTACCCACCAGATTACAAAATCATTAACAACAAACCTTCATCAGCCAATCCGAGATGTCCACATTACTTCCATTGGATACACGAAGATTTAAAGCTGTGGAGGAAAACAGGAATAACGAAAGAAATGGTCGAAAGGGCCAACAGGACTGCTAATTTCAGACTTGTAATTTTGAATGGAAGAGCTTATGTAGAAACATATGAGAAGGGATTTCAAACTAGAGATGTTTTTACGTTATGGGGCATTCTTCAGTTGTTACGAAGGTACCCTGGAAAAATTCCTGATCTTGATTTAATGTTCGATTGTGTCGATTGGCCGGTTATAAGAGCAAGTGATTTTGTTGGAGATAATGCAATAGCTCCACCACCTTTGTTTCGATATTGTGGAGATAGTGAAACGTTGGATATTGTCTTTCCTGATTGGTCTTTTTGGGGATGGTAAGGATCAAGTTTTTACTCTTTAAGTTTTATGCGGCCTTTACATTTTGCATGCTATAATATATATATAAGTTGCTAGTTTGATCAATTTGGTAGGGCTGAAATCAATATAAAGCCATGGCAAGACTTGTTAAAGGATCTTGAAAAAGGGAACAAGAAGCAGAAATGGCAGGATAGGGAACCATATGCTTACTGGAAAGGCAATCCAGAAGTCGCTGAGAAGAGAATGGAGCTCGTTAAGTGCAACGTGTCCGAAAATCAGGAGTGGAATGCTCGCATTTATGTCCAGGTGAGCTTCCACACTCTTCCTTGAAAACATTTACTCGCATTCAATATTTACACCAAATATATGTAAACATGACATGTGTTTTTAGATTCACTTTTGCAACCTAATCTTGGTTAATTAAATATAGATTCTCACCTCAACTTATCATATAATCATAGTAAATTAATGTAATTTGGTATAAATAGTTCGTGTGAATAGTATTTACCCCTTCCGGCATCAGAACTAAGGATGAACTCTGGTCTCCTGAAAAGGGGAGTCCGGTGCACATTCCGCGTTTACGCAGTGTTCGCGAAAGGACTACACCCCAATAGAATGCAATGTAGACAGTCCCCAAATGCAAGCATCAATGGCTGATGCTACGGCTCGAATGCGTAACCTATAGATCACACGAAAAACTGTGGTCTCCTGAAGGTTTCAAAATTTACCGACACATTTGCTGCTGTTTACAGGATTGGAAGAAAGAGATAAAGCAAGGATTCAAGAATTCTGACTTAGGAAACCAATGTCACCATAGGTAAATCCAATCAAGCTTCATTGTCATACCTTTATAATACCAATAACATTAATACCAATCTGCCAATTGAAGGTTTTTCCCCTGTTTCCTCTCTCAAATTTCATTAGCTTATAATAATAATTTTCTTTATTTGTGTGACCCATGCTATATATAATGTTTTTACAAATGCATGCAGATACAAAATATACATTGAAGGATCTGCATGGTCTGTTAGTGAGAAATATATTCTTGCTTGTGACTCAGTTTCTTTGCTTGTAACACCCCACTACTATGATTTCTTCTCGAGAAGTTTGATGCCACAAGTCCATTATTGGCCCATAAATGAAAATGACAAGTGTGGATCCATTAAGTTTGCAGTTGATTGGGGCAATAGAAATAAGAAAAAGGTAACTACATTACCCTTACAACAACTAAATATAGTATCAATTAATTTTGTCCTGTTGACTTTTCTCAGGCACAAAAAATTGGTAGAAGTGCAAGCAATTTTATTCAAGAAGATTTGAAGATGGAGTATGTGTATGATTACATGTTTCATCTCTTAAATGAATATGCTAAGCTGCTTAGATATAAGCCCAGTGTGCCTGAAAAGGCCACTGAGCTCTGCTCAGAGATAATGGCATGCCCAGCTGAAGGTATTGAGAAGAAACTAATGATGGAATCTATGGTTAAGGGACCTGTTGATGAAAGTCCATGTAAAATGCCCATACCCTTTAATCAATTGTCTCTTGATTCTTTCATTAAAAGAAAAGAAAGTTCCATTGAACAAGTCCTTAAACTGGAGAAAGAGGAGCAAAAAGAGAAAACGTAGTTGTTATTCTTTAGGTAGTCAAGAAGATAGACAAGAAATTAGATTGGTGCTAAAACTACTTGGTACCAATAATGTATTAGGTAATTGTCATGTCAGTCCGAAAAATATTACCTATACCATCACGAGCAAGCAAACTAAGTTGCAATGTGAATTGAGTATGTACTATGTGGTAGATAGAGTAATTGATGATCACAGGTTTCAAGTCAGCTGAACTTCTAATTTATTGATACTTGGACATGATTTCTCGTTCGTCGGCAGAAGTTTTTGTCAAAGTGAATATTGATATTTAAAACAGCGTATCTTCGTTGAAAATTATGTCACTTGTTTGACAGTAAATGTGGAGTACTATTCATCACCCAACAATTAGGAACATAATTGAAGTAATTTTGCAACCCGTATAAACCATAATACTATTTCAGTCCACGTATTTGGAAGATATTTAATTGCGTTAGTCGTAAGAATATTTGTCTAAATTATCTATTATCTCCCTTGAATATCTCACTTAATTAACACTTCAACAATTAAAATTGTAAGATAGAGTTGGAAGGAAATTACGTAAACTTCTTTTGGTTTATTCACCAATCTAAAACTTCGCACTTGTTTACTTATAAACTAGTTAATTAGTTCGCGCTTCGGCAGTTAAGGAAAACCTATTCAATTTTTGAAATGATAATTTTCTAATACTATTAAATTACTGAAAGTAGTTTAAAACATATATTTTTTTTTTATTGTCGAGAACACAATATCGACTAAAAAGGAAACTGATAAACTTTCAGTGTCACCACAATTACATAAAGTAACTTACAGTATCTTGATTGCACTAACTTTTTTTCTTCTTCTATTTTTTTTTTTTAAGCAGTTGTCTTTCAATGAATTAGTAATATGGTAGTAGTATCAATAGCTAGAGGAGCACCAAAATGAATTAGCAAAGAAGTATTAAGACCAAATACAATCAATCTACCTTTTTTGCTTAAGAGAATAAAATAAAAACACGTCCTTTCCTTTGTTCATGTCCCAAACCATCACCATTTTCACAGGCAGTTATAAACATAAATAATCATTTTTAACTCCATAACAACACATTTTATCTTAATACTAATTGTCAACCTATAGTAAGTTATACATTTTGTAATGTTACGATAAAAATTAATAGAAGTCCCCCAATCCCTTCTCTCTGTATGTGTAGAACCAACCCTATTCAAAGTTGTAGGTTCTACAGTTTGTGCTTGTAAACACATGTTTCATTGTATAATCTTAATGTATTCAAATATTTAATATATTTAAATATTTTTTTAAGAAATTCTTTGAGACCTTTAGTTGGCAATATACTGCAGACATTTTATTTTGTTTGAAAAGAAAAACTAAATTCTAATATTTACATAGTTTGTAAATTCCATCATTATTTTATGAATATTTGATTTAATTTTATTTCTCACACAAATACTTCTTTGTTTTAATTTTATCCTTTCCAAGTGTAAACGTGCATACATGTACATACTTACAAGAATAACAATCTTTGATATATGTATTATTATCATAAAAAATTTAAGATTTTCACTACTATAACTTTCTCCGATTTTAAATGTCACAAAAGCCGCGCTCCTACAAAAATATAAAAGTATTTATTTTGCTAATATAAACAAAGAATAAATATAGGGGCTTTTAAATACGAGGGTTGATAGTCCGAAAGATTTTTGATTCAAAATCATGACCTAAAAAAAATTAATTTACTAAAAATGTGACTAATTCTTTGAATATATTGAATTTAATTTTATATATAAACTTTTCAAATTTATTTGATTCCACCATTATATTCACAAAGTAAATAAGAAAAGGCAAAAAATTACTATATCTCATTAAATAAAATAAAAAGAAACAAAAGTAATAATTTTTATATACCCAAAAGAATAGATTAAAAAAGACCAATTTTCTTCTTCTTCTTTATTCTCCCTTTTTACCTTCTTCCTCGTTCTCTTTTGTTTATCTCCTCACCCACCACGTATTCAGCAAAACCTGAAATTACAAAAGATAGCCATACGTTTTGGATGCAATTCTGATGTAACGTTTGAAGGCGGAATTAGGAAAGGGGAGATAGGGTATTGTTATAATAGGGTGTAGAAGCTTCTATAGGCTACATCTTTGAGCCAGTATAAGTGAAGACACATTGGGCCAAATTAATAAGAAAGTCGTTGGCCCATTTGTAGCAGCCCAACCAACATTAACAAACAATAAATACACAGTTGGAAGAGGGAAGCATCAATCAATTTCCGGTAATTCCGTTACTTCCTAACAAACTCCTTCTCTTTTGTCTCTCATTTCTCTCTCTTCTCTCTCGATCCTAACCTCCTTTTCTCTTCTTAATTCTCAGGTCATTTCCATGGAGTATCTAGCTAGGTCTACTGTAATTAGCTAGATCTATATAAAATTCCATTGACAAACAGTGCTTCTTTGATCAATAAAGCTTTCTTCCTTCTATTTTTGTTTCAATTACTATAATCCATGCTAGTTCATTACAGATTTGGTATCAGAGCAAGTCCTGGCACCATGACAATACCAGAAACTAGGGCTAAAGCTACAGAAGAAAACATAAAGAAATTGGAGAATCAATTACAGAATTACATGTCAGAGACGAATAAAAAGCTGGACTCCAATGACTCAAAAATGGATGATTTACATCACAAGTTTGACATAATGATGGATAAAATCTTCGTTAGTAAAGATGGAATTCTGGGAAGTGCGCCTTCAGGAAATCTTCAGGTGGAAGGTTCTTGAAGTAGGGCAAGAATGGTGGAGCCTCACGAGCAGCCTATGGGGAGATACCACTCGAGCAGCTTTGCTTCAAAGGTAGACTGTCCATACTTTGAAGATGGTGATCCCAGGTCGTGGTTGAGGAAATGTGAAAGGTACTTCCATTATAATCACATCTCTGATCCTCAGCATAAACTTGAAACTGTTGTTATTCATTTAAATGGAAAGGCTGAGTCATGGTACTTTTCATACCAAATTAGTATAGGTGTGGTGAGATGGCCCGACTTTGTGGAGGAAATCTGCAAAAGATTCAATGATTCAGACAATAGTAATCTTAACTTGCTAGGCAAATTTAAAAGAATTGAACAAGTGGGGAGTGTGACAGAATACCTAGAAAAATTTGAAGACCTTAAGACTTGGGTATTGATTAAGCACCCTACCATTCCTAAGGAGTTCTTTCTAGGGTTCTTCATTGAAGGGCTTAAAGAAGAAATTCGACACACAGTTAAGATGTTGGACCCTTTTTCTTTAAGCTAGGCAGTTGAGAAAGCTAGACACAAAGAAGAGTTACTAGAAGCAGTAAGCAGAAAGAATAAAGGAAGTGTGGGAAGGGGCACTTGTCAGTATAGTATGACTCATGGTACTTCAGGGAGTAGAGCTTCTAATTTTATCCCAAAGGAAGGCAATACTAACTCTGTCATCTCAAGGAATAAATTGTTTGAAGCTAGAAAAGCTAAGGGAGAATGCTACAGGTGTGGGAAAAAGTACTTTCCCGGTCACAAATGTAAGGATAGATAATTGAATGCATTATATGGACAACTGAACAAGAAGAAGTAGAAGAAGAACCTAGAGTGGAGGAAATAGAGAGAGCACTAGAGGTTCCTGAAGAAGTAATTGATGAAGCAATCAGTTTAAATGCATTATCTGGCACTATTACTTCTAACACTATCAAGTTGAAGGGGATGTATGGGAAGCAAGGACTGATTATACTAGTTGACAGTGGTAGTACTCATAGTTTTGTTGCTAGTAGCACTGCCAAACAACTAGGATGTGCAATCCAAGAGAATGCTCCTATGAGAGTAACAGCTGCTAATGGGAGTCATTTGATGAGCTACTATTCATGTCCTCAGTTTAAGTAGAAGATACATGGCATTGAGTTTGAACATAAACTCAGATTGTTGGATGTGAGTGGTTGTGATATGGTGTTAGGTGGAGATTGGATAAGAAGACACAACCAAGTACTCTTTGATTTTATTAAGTACAGGCTACATGTTAGTGTCAAGGGAAAAAGGGTGGATCCGAAAGGGTTCTCTGAAAAAGGGAAACTGCAAGCTATGACAGCCTCTGGGGTTAAACAACTTTTGAAGAAAGGGCAAGTGATATGGGCACATTTATTTACAATAACAGTTACAGAAATGAAGGAGGCTACAACCATACCTGCAGAGATCAAATCTGTATTGGAGAAGTTTCCAGGAGTATTTGCAGAACCCAAGACATTACCACCAAGCAGGGAGCATGACCATTTCATTCCATTGAAACCTGATGCAAAACCAGTTAGCATCAGACCATACAGGTACAACTATTTCCAGAAAAATGAAATAGAAAAGCAAGTTGATGAAATGCTCACTAATGGAATCATACAGCCAAGTCATTCACCATTCTCATCCCCAGTTCTCCTTGTCAAAAAGAAGGATGGGAGTTGGAGATTTTGAATTGACTATAGGGAACTTAACAAAATGATTGTTAAGGATAAGTTTCCTATCCCCTTAGTAGATGATCTAATGGATGAGCTTAAAGGATCTTGTATCTACTCTAAAATTGACCTTAGGGCTGGCTACCATCAAATAAGAATGGAGAAGTGTGATATTTTCAAAACTGCATTTAGAACTCATTTAGGGCATTATGAGTTCAAGGTCATGCCCTTTGGCTTGACTAATGCACCTGCGACCTTCCAAAGTCTTATGAACCATGTTTTCAAGCCTTACTTGAGGAAATTTGTGCTAGTATTTTTTTATGATATTTTAGTTTATAGTTCTTCTGTTGTAACTTATGCATTACATCTCAGAAAAGTAATGGAAGTATTGCAGAAAGAGCAGTTGTATGCCAAGCTATCCAAATGTTCTTTTGGACAAGATAAGGTGGAATACTTAGGGCACATAATATCTGGGAAGGGAGTATCAACTGACCCTTCTAAGATTGAAGCCATGGTGTCCTGGCATGTTCCCAAGAATGTCAAAGCTCTTAGGGGTTTCCTAGGGCTTACTGGTTACTACAGGAGGTTTGTCAAATCTTATGGTATCATTAGTAGACCACTGACTAATCTATTGAAGAAGAACTCATTCCAATGGAATGCAGAAGCAGAAGTGGCTTTTCAGCAATTGAAAGAAGCCATGGCATCAGACCAGTATTGGCTTTAGCTGACTTCACCAAGCCATTCATTATGGAGACAGATTCTTGCTCTACTGGCATGGGAGCTGTGTTGATGCAAGAGAGTAGACCTATAGCCTATTTCAGTAAGGCTTTAGCTCCCAAAAACAGGGGTCTCTCTACATATGAGAAGGAATATATGGCAGTGTTAGCTGCAGTAGACAAATGGAGACATTATCTCCAAGGTGGACACTTTATTGTCAAGACAGATTATCAGAGTTTGAAATATCTCTTGGAACAAAAAGTAACTACAGCATTGTAACAGAAAAGTCAAACCAAGTTGATGGGGTTAGACTATGAAGTACAATATAAGAAGGGAACAAAAAACACAGTAGCTGATGCTCTTTCAAGAAGACAAGATGAAGAAAGTACCCTTACTGGCTATGTCTACAACTCAAGCTACTTGGTTACAGGAAGTGAGTCTAAGCTATGAATCTGACCCTGTGTCCTTACAACTGTTGAGGGAATTGGCCATTGCCTCTGACAGTAATGTAGACTATTCTTTACATCAGGGAATTATCAGGTATAAACAAAAGATCTATATTGGGAAGAGTATTGAGTTAAGGCATAAGATACTGGAAGCACTACATCAGTCACCTTTAGGTGGTCATTCAGGGCAACAAGGGACCTATAGAAGAGTGCAATCTATATTCTACTGGCCTAACATGAAGACAGAAGTATGTGAATGGGTTAGTGAGTGTGATGTGTGTCAAAGGGTGAAGTCAGAACATGTTCACCCTCCAGGATTACTACAGCCCTTATCCATACCCAACCAAGCTTGGGAAGACATTTCCCTAGATTTTGTAGAAGGGTTACCTCAGTCAGGTCATAAAAATGCAGTCTTGGTGGTAGTTGACAGATTAACCAAGTATGGACATTTCCTACCTCTTAAGCATCCATTCACAGCTCAAGATATAGCAGAACTATTTCATAGAGAGATCTATAGACTACATGGGCTTCCTAAGACTATTGTATCTGATAGAGATACCATTTTCACTAGCCACTTCTGGCAGCATCTATTCAAGACCTTGGGTTCTAAGCTTAATATTAGTTCAGCTTACCATCCTCAATCAGATGGTCAGACTGATAGTCTCAACAGATGTATGGAGACCTATTTGAGGGATATGGTTTTCAACAATCCTAAGGAATGGGTTAAATGGCTCCATTTGGCAGAATGGTAGTACAACACCAACTACCATAGCTCCCTTAAAACTACTTCTTTTCAAGCCCTATATGGTTATCCCCCGACTCAGTTACCATTAGGCTCCTTGCCAAGCATTGGTCGATATCCAGCTAGAGTATTCTTAGCATAGAGACAACATTTATTACAGATACTCAAAGACAATCTAACTCAAGCTCAGTCAAGAATGAAGTTTTATGCAGATAGACTCAGAACTGAGAGAGCCCTTGAGGTTGGAGATTTGGTTTATCTCAAATTACAACCTTATCGACAGGCTTCTATCGCTGCACGTAGGAATGTGAAGTTATGTGCTCGCTATTATGGGCCTTATAAAGTCTTACAAAGAGTGGGTTCAGTGGCTTACCGTTTGGAGTTGCCAGCAGATTCGTAGCTACATCCAGTCTTCCACATCTCGCAGTTGAAGAAAAGGGTTGGACCAGCTATCGATTCTCAGCCAGAACCTCTGATTTGTGACGATGCAGGTCGAGTCTTGATTCAGCCTATGGCTACCTTGCAGCGAAAAATGACTAAAGTGGATAATGGGGTTCGTGTGAAAGTCTTGGTTCACTCGACTAATTTGAGTGAAGAAGAAGCCACATGGGAAGATTGGGGTTACATTAAAGGCAGATTTCTAGAGTTCGTGGCTCTGCAAAGACCTTGAGGACAAGGTCATTCTTTGAAGGGGAAGGGATTGTAACGTTTGAAGGTGGAATTAGGAAAGTGGAGATAGGGTATTGCTATAATGGGGTGTAGAAGCTTCTATAGGCTACATCTTTGGGCCAGTATAAATAAAGACACATTGGGCCAAATTAATAAGAAAGTCGATGGCCCACTTGTAGTAACCCAACCAACATTAACAAACAATAAATTATATTTGGAAGAGGGAAGCATCAATCAATTTTCGGTAATTCCATTACTTCCTAACAAACTCCTTCTCTTTTCTCTCTCATTTCTCTCTCTCTTCTCTCTGGATCCTAACCTCCTTTTCTCTTCTTAATTCTCAGGTCATTTCCATGGAGTATCTATCTAGGTCTACTGTAATTAGCTAGATCTGTGTAAAATTCTATTGACAAACAGTGCTTCCTTGATCAATAAAGCTTTCTCCCTTCTATTTTTGTCTCAGTTACTATAATCCATACTAGTTCATTACATCTGATTCCCTGTATTTTATCTTTTCTTTCATCAATTAACTTTTCCCCTTTTTTGAAATTGCCTTACTAATCTTGTTGACGCTGTATTTATTGACATCTCATTTTCTAACATTCCATATTTAAAAAAATCATCACTTTATTCCACATTATTGAAACCCACAAATAAAAAAAGAAGTTAGTGGCAGCTAATCCATATGACAGTAAATTTTTCCAAAATTAAGATAAAACAAAGAGTTTGGATGTGAAAATTAATGGTTTTTTACCCAAGATAAATGAGGCCGGAAGATAGCCACCGTTATAATTGGCAAAGAGTGAACACAATAATTCCATGTGATTTGGTGACTTTGAATATCTTGTCCTGCAATAGAAAATATGGAGTAATAAATTTTTTCAACAAAAATAAAAAAGGAAAAAAGTCATAAGGAAATAAGCAAAAAAAAAAAAAAGACAACAATAACAAAATACACAAGAACAAAAGATAAACTACATAGCCAATTAGTCATAGGCGAAAATGTTTTACGTGTAAAGTAAGGAAATGATACAAAACAGTTCTTTCAAAAAGGAACATAGATCGAATAAAAAGGAATTCGTTGATTTGTGTTTCAACTAAATGTGATAGCGGAGCATAAGCATGAACTTTTTAAGTATGAAAAGTGGTGGTGAATTGAAACAAATATAGAGAAAATCAGGAAAGGAGATGAGAATGTATATGTCTTAATGGTATGATTAATCTCTGTCTTGTATTAATTAATCATTATATGTCGGAGTGTTACGAGTGTGGCGCTCTTTCGTAATCGGCTGTATCCGTCTTCTTTATTGTTAAAAGAGCACATAAATGGAAAAAATTGTAAAACGGCTAAAAATTCAGGAAAAAAGAAAAGTATAAATGCTGGCCAAAGAGATGCGCCATGTCAGCACTCTTTGGCCCTCCTTTATATAAATATATAGATTCCAAGGCAGTGACATTCTTGAATGAACCGAATTAGCACTTCTCGCATTAGGCTAGCTAGGCCTCTTCAGCTGAGTTGGGAGATAGGGTCTTGGATGCGCTAGTAATTGACACATAGGAGAATGGTTGCTCGAGTTTTCAGGCCTAATATCCTGCAACTTGCAATGAGAATATCTACATTCAACGGTGCTTAGAGATACACAATGTCAAAATCTTAGAATAATTTTAGTTTGAGAAAACTCCGAATATTTGGTCTAGAGGATGTATTTGAGTATTGATATCAATGAAAAACATACAACAGAATAGGCCCCAAAATAGCAAATATACTACGGTATTTACGAAGTAGCTTAACGATTACATTTCAGTAAACTGCGGGGAAATGTTCCCTATAGAATTCTTAAACCCCCAATTTTATATTGCTACAACAACAACAAATCCAGTATACTCCTACAAGTGGGGTTTGGAAAGGGTAGTGCGTACGCAGACCTTACTCCTACCTAGTGGAGGCAGATAAACTGTTTCCAATAGACACTCAGCTTAGAAAGAGTGAGAAGAAGAAGAAAAAGAAGGAGAAGAAGAGGAAGAAGACAAGAAGAGAAGAAGAAGAAGAAGAATAAGAAGAAGAAAAAAAAAGGGTGGGGGTGGGAGGAGGAAAAATAGTAGTACTAAACACTAACAACAAGAAATACAATATTAGGAGCGAACTAAATCATATGATAAAGTAACGATCTACTTAAGCATGTACAAAAACCTGAGTGCTACTAAAGAAACTAGTAAGAAAAGGAGAAACTTACAAATACCTACTACCCTTCTACCCTAATCCTCGACCTCCATACCTTCCTATCAAAGGTCATGTCCTCAGTAAGCTGAAGCTGCGCCATATCATGCCTAATCACATCTCCCCAATACATCTTTGGCCTACCTCGACCTCTTCTCAAACCCGCCATAGTCAGCCTCTCACACCTCCTGACAGGAGCATCAATACTTCTCCTCTTTACGTGTTCGAATCATCTCAACCTCGACTCCCGCATCTTGTCATCCACAGAGGCCACTCCCACTTTATCCTGAATAGCTTCATTCCTAATCTTATCTCTCCCGGTATACCCACTCATCCATCTCAACATCATTATTTCTGCTACTTTCATCTTCTGCATGTGTGAGTTCTTAATTGGCCAACACTCCTCCCCATATAGCATAGTTGGTCGAACCACCACTTTGTAAAAATTACCTTTAAGTCTTGGTGGAACATTCTTATCACATCAAGCGCTGGACGCAAGCCTCCATTTCATCCATCTCTCTCCAATACGATGTACGACATCCTCGTCAATCTTCCCATTACCCTGGATAGTAGACCCGAGATACTTGAAACTACCTTTCTTGGGGATAACTTGAGTATCAAGCTTCACATCCACGTGTGACTCATGAGTCCCGTCACTGAATTTACACTCTAAGTATTCTGTCTTAGTCCTGCTCAACTTGAAACCTTTAGCCTCCAAGGTCTGCCTCCAAATCTCCAACCTTGCGTTGACCCCAGTTCGCGGCTCTTCGATAAACACTATATCATTGGCAAATAGCATGCACCATGGCACTTCCCCCTGTATGTGCCGGGTCAACACGTCCATCGTCAAAGAAAATAAAAACGGGCTAAGAGTCGATCCCTGGTGCAGCTTCATCACAACTGGAAAGTGCTCCGAGTCCCTTCCCACAGTCCTCACCCGAGTCTTAGCACTATCGTACATATCCTTAATCACCCTAGTGTACGCTACCGGAACACCGCTAACCTCCAGACACCTCCACAAAACTTCCCTCAGCACTTTATCGTACATTTTTTCAAGGTCGATAAACACCACGTGCAAGTTTTTTTTCCTCTCCCTATACTGCTCCACTAATCTCCTCACCAGATGAATAGCTTCCATAGTCGAGCGCCCCGGCATGAATCCGGACTAGTTCTCGGGAATAGACATGCTCCTTCTCATCCTGGCTTCCACCACCCTCTTTCAAATCTTCATAGTGTGGCTCAAAAACTTTATACCATATAATTGCTGCAATTTTGGATATCACCTTTGTTCTTGTACAACGGAACTATCGTACTCCACCTCCATTCCTCGGGCATCCTGTTTATCTTAAAAATGACATTAAACAACCCAGTGAGACACTCCAAACCTACTCGACCCGCGTTCTTCCAAAGCTCCACTGGAATTTCATCTAGCTCTGTCGCTCTGCCCCTACTCATCTTGCGCGTTGAAATTTTATAATGCTAAAAAATTTGCAATAACACAACATACGGAACTGTAACATATTTACTCCCTACGTTTACTTTTACTTGTCGACTATGGACTTTACGCATCCCTTAAGAAATAATAAATAAAGTACATAATCTATCATGATACTCATGTTAATTGATACATATTTTTAATGGATTTGAGAAAATAATTTAAAATAACTAACTAATATTGTGAGTATAATAGGAAAAAAGAAATTGTTTCTCTTGTTAGGTTAAAAGTGACAAATAAAATTAAAAATCTATTTTTAAAATCTTAAATAAGTAAAAGTGAATGGAAGGAGGGCACGAAGAAGGATTCTCACTGGTAAGACTAGTGAAGAGCCCTAAACTAAGTAGATTTTTTATTTTCTTCGATAATTAATGATAGAATAGCTAATATTAGGAAATAGTACCGCATTTATAAACAGTACGTAGGTTAGGCAACGACAAGAGAGAAGAAAGCGTCAAACTAGAGGTGTCAAACGGGCCGGGTTGACCCAGGGCCGGCCCGGCCCAAACCGGTTGAAACCCGGCCTGATCCGGTCCGGTACTTAGGGGGCCGGATGGGCTGGGTTACCGAAGTTAGGGGGTTGGTCCGTTCACTTTAATTCATCCGGTTAACCGGATCGGTCAAACCCGATCAACCAAAATCCCTGTAGAATCGGTTAATCGGCTCGGTTCAGACCGGATCGGACCGGTTTAAAGGCTAGATTTTTTTATTTTTTTTAAGGTTTTAAAGTCTAAGGCAATGCAAAACCTTTGAATTTATTCTTTTTTCGTTAATTTACTTATTGTTAAATGTAAACCTTTCAATTTGTAAGTTTGAATTTTGAAATAAATGTAGCACTTGTAATTTATAAGTGCAATTTTTTTTCCATCTTCATGTATTCTTTATATTAATATAAATTACCATATTTATACAAAATACCAACAAAAAAAAAAACCCGGCCCGACCCCTTGTACCCGTAACCCTTGCGGTTCATTTTTTACCCGGATAAATCCGAACCCGTTAAGCCCGATAATTCCTAACCCATAACCGTCCCGATTCGAAATCCGGACAGTTTCAATTTTTACCTACACAACCCGGCCCGGCCCACCCGTTAGACACCCTTAGGTCAAACTCACTCTCGCCATGACTAATTCACATGTTAGTTGACCCCACGCACCTTATTCAAATGATTCAAGAAAAGCAACGACCGACTTCAAACATACGTTCCATTGACATTTTGCCACCTTTGCTAGATGTAATTGGTACCAGAAATTCCAGAAATTGCTCCTCATTCTCATTTTTTGCTTCATAAATGACACTCATTCTCAGACACTACTATTTCACACCCCATGCTGCTTACTAATTATATACTGACAAATAAAGAACGAGCCTCCCCTGAATTAGCAGCATATAATTAGTTCAGAAAGAGCCCCAACTGGCATCAGGATATTCTTGCCACCCCCACCTTCTACTTCACATTAATCCTCCATATTGTCCAACAATTTTAACTTTTTGCGCAGGTCCTCTCGGGGTCTTTTTCAACTTCCACTTTCTTTTTTTAAGAATCACCTGAATTTGCAGCATATTAGTGCAGAAAGAGCGGCAGACAAGAGAAAAATCTTGCTACTTCACATTATTCTTCCATATTGTCCATAAAATTTCCACTTTCCACTTTCTTCATCTGAGCTCACGCTTTAGGTGCTAGCCTCATCCTCTTCCCCTTCAAAATTCCCTTATAATTCAACCCAAATATTTATTTATTAAAACAGGAACTTCGTTTTTAAGTATCACCGACTAGTCACTACACCATTTAAGAAAAGTCAATACATTTCTCCATCTGCAGCCACTCTCTCTCTTTCAGCTGGCCAATAGGGGTGGGGTTCGCGTGCTATATTTGTACTTCACCTAGCCTTGTAACCAAAAATTCAAATGCCGTTTTAGGTTGGTATACACTAATAAAGTCTTGTGGTTTGCTTTCAAAGTTGGAAAAAGGTGAAGTTTGTGTTTTTGATAATTAATACTGAAGAAAATTTTGGCAGCTAGATATTTCCATATTTAGGTGGACAAGTGTATAGCGGTGCATGCAACAACTTGCATCTTTATGTTGACAAGTGTTAAGCTTTACTGCAGTTGAGCTGAGAAAGAAGGAAAGTTAGGGCTTCGTAGACATTTCACAGAAATTATCTGCTAGCTGTTCATTAATGGCGTCCAAGACAACGGTGAGATCTTCAGTAACAATCTTCATCTCTATTCTACTCTTCATCGGCGTTATCGTCTCCATGCGATTGCTGCACTCTTCCTTTGAAATTGTAAGTTTCATTATTTTTACTCTTAATTTGGAAAGTTATTGTCTCCTTGCTTTTTGACATGGATCAGCTTTGTATAAATTCTTTTAACTATATTTAACCGTATACCTCATTTATCTCCTCAACGAATAACGAACCCCGACGGGAAAAACAATTCTCTTCTCTTTTTTGTTTTTTACTGTATTAGCTTGATACTGCCAAAGTTATTACATTAATATTAGCTTGAGTAATATTTTGACTTAATAGTGTCAATGTCAATCATTACTATTATGGAGTTAATAGTTTTTCTTAAGTATGATTTTATATATTTTAAAAAATATTTTAACTGTAATCAAATAGGAGTGTTCACTTAATACCAGCAAATAGCAATGAGATACTTTTGACCTTTATATTTCGAGTCCGACCCGAAAAGCGGCGGGACATTATTGAAGCTGCAATAAAAACTGTTTGGCGAATAAGCGGCGGGACAGTCGGAAAATAAAAATAAAAATAAATTAGCGGCGGGACAGTCGGAAAATAAAAATAAAAATAAATTAGCGGCGGGATAGTATTACAGCTTGCATTTTACCCATCTTTTACGCTGTCATTTAGCGATTTAAATCTTTAATGGAGTAATTCATGCAACGTCATAATTCATATGAGGCAGAGACAGTGAAACAATTTTCCTGTGACAAGGACGCTTAGGTGTACAAGGGTACGTGGCGTTAATTGGTGCAAGGAATTCCGTGTTCTGTTGCCGACGCTCTACAAAATGCACTGAGTTCTACTTCAATTTCCTCTTCTTCCCCTTCACTTTTTCGTCCTTTTTTTTTTAAAAAAAAAATCAGCAATGTTAGGTGAATTTCAACTAATTATTTATTTGAAATTGGGATCTCACTGACCAATATCTAGAAGTTGGACCTAGCGTAACCTAACCAGATCTATTTCGAGCTCAATTCTAATAGGGAATGTTTTTCCTTCAAAAAACCTCTTGCGTGCGCATTCAAATTAGTTGATTCTCAATACAGGTATCAATACCGAGTGCGAAACAGTATGGACATTTCCATACTAGGATTTGCAAGTGACGAATTTTTACAGGAACCCTAGATCACAGCCCAGTTGGTGCATTTTGACTATATACCACGTCTAATTCCAATTTAACTTAGAGATTGGACCACAGCGTTTGTAATATCAAGCAAGCAAACCATCTATAGTTTATAATCTAATGAAACATGTGTGGTTGGATTATGAACTGTTTCCTCCTAATAAGAAAAGTTGACAAGGCTTATAAGTCCAGGGGCGGATTTATAGGCCACATGGGGCATGAACCCATAGTCTTTGCGTAAAATTAAAATTAGATATTTTATGTATAATTAGGGATCAATTTCCGCCTCTACTTATAACCTAGTATTAATTTTACCAGATGTAATGGAATGTCTATTCATTAATTTATGTATGAAAGTATTTATATTGATAAAAAATTTCACATTATTACTACTTGTTATCTCTCGTTTACTTCTGATGGTGTCTGTTGTATTGGCTTTAAAATTATAAGAAAGTCATTAAATAAAATTTCCATATTTTAGAGGAGGAATCCAAAATTTGTTTATTCACTTACTTTATATTTTAGTATATTTTATTTTAACTTCCTTTCTTAGAAACTGTACATTTGAGCTGAAAAAGTTTTTGATATGTAATTCTGGATGTATTTTAATTTCTTTAATATTGGATAAAGTGATGTAATACAGTTTCAATGGTACTGTTTGAAAATTTTTCCAAGTCCATGAATACAGTAGTTGGTCCAAAACAACTGCAAAACCGGAAAAAGATTGGCAGAATAACAGAAGGAAAATCCTAGTCCAGATATTTTGGTGAGAAATTCAAAAATAGTGATCATTCAAAAATAGCCACAGTTTCAAAAGTAATCAAAATTTAGCCATTTTTCATGTAAAGATAGATATGAACGAAAATACCGTTCAAAATCCGGAAAATACTCCAGCATAATATACTGGAGTTCCAGTATAATATACTGGTCCAGCATAATATGCTGGAAGTTCATATATGGGTGCTCCAATCTCCAGTATATTATGTTGCAACTTTCCGTGTTGCAGCAAAATTGTGGCTATTTTTCAATGATTTTGCAAACGCTGACTATTTTTGAATGACCAGTCTGAAAACTGGTTAGCCTGTGCTATTTTTACGATATTTTATTCCAGTTTTTTTTCTGTATTGGGTGACTCATTATGGGTGATGGTCATTTTCTTTTGGGGTCCTCAATTCTTACATCTTTGTTAATTTTTATGGTTTTCTGTATTCGTTGTTCTTTTTTCTCCTTAGGATGGATAGTAAAGTAATCTTTAGTTTTTAAAGTAATTTTAACTTCTGTCAAGTCATAGTATTTCTGGTAATTGATGCTAGACCGGAACAGGATTGAATCAGATTTACTTAGTATGCTACATTAGGAAACTGCTATAGTAACGAAAACTGGGGATTATGTGCCAATATGAAACAACTTCGCCTACTCTTGATCATCTTGTTCTTTCACCATTGTGATTATAGGTACACCCTTTGTTGTATAAAGCACCAACGACCATGCATGTATGTCGAAGACACCGTCTATCAATATCGCTCAGTATTCATATCTTCTTGTTGTCTGCAGTATGAACCAATTCATCTTCTTCTTGAATGGAAAACCCGTTGTCAGACTTGATTAATGTCCTAAACTAAATCGTTGCGTTTTTGTAATCTTCTAATCGTTCCAAATTATTAGGCTTATTGGTTTTGTTCTTCCAAATTTACAGACCATTGCAGGATATTCTCCAGGAAAGTCAATATTAACCCCCATAGCATGCCACAATCCCACTGATACAACCACAGCTAACTCAAAAGAGCCCCAAAAGAAACTGGAACTCGTAACATTTCACAATCACACTGATGCAACACCAGCAGTCTCAAAGCCGCCCCAAAAGAAACTGGAAGTCCAACTAAATTGTACACTTGGAAACCTCACAAGGACTTGCCCAGCTTCTTACTACCCGTCAAAATTCACGGATCAAAACCAAGCCACTTCATTAACTCCTCCATCTACCTGTCCAGATTACTTCCGCTGGATCTACGATGACTTATGGCCTTGGAGAGAAACAGGAATCACCGAAGAAATGGTGATGCGAGCCAGAAGGACGGCAAATTTTCGGTTGGTGATAGTGAAAGGAAGAGCATATGTTGAGACATATAGGAAGTCATTTCAAAGCAGAGACCAATTCACATTGTGGGGTATTTTACAAATGTTACGTAGGTACCCTGGTAAAGTTCCTGATTTGGACCTGATGTTCGACTGTGTCGACTGGCCAGTCATTCATACTGAATTCTACCGACGCCCTAATGCGCCTCCTCCTCCACCTCTGTTCCGATACTGTGGGAACAATACCAGTTTGGATATTGTTTTTCCAGATTGGTCATTCTGGGGATGGTACAAACTCTTTTTTGCATCCATATTGATATAATAATCTTAACAGTTTTAGTGAAACTTTTTTTTTTGTTTCAAAAACATTGTGTAGGCCAGAGATTAATATAAAGCCTTGGGAAACTTTGTCGAAGGATTTAAGAAAAGGGAATGAGAAGGTGAAATGGACCGACAGGGAACGGTATGCCTATTGGAAGGGCAATCCTGTTGTTGCTGAAACCAGGATGGCTCTGCTCAAGTGCAATGTTTCAGAAAAGCAGGACTGGAATGCACGCGTATATGCTCAGGTATCAAGTTGTGCAACATTCATATTCTTTTGTCAAGAAATACAGCTTTTCAAGACCCCGTTACGCTATATTCTACCACTAGCAAAAAGAAAGAGGGTAAAAGGAAACTCTCTTCTTCCCCCCTCCCCACCTCCCTCCAAAAAAAAGGGAATTGAAGTGTTACAACTGCAAATTTATAAAAGTATCTTTGGGGTACTTCTCCATATTAATCTAAATGGCGCGGTGAATGTATGTGGAACATTTTTGTCAGCTTCACTGCAGTTCAGGAATCTGGGGCTATCAGATTCTGTGATGTTAATTACAGTGATGAATCTGGAAATAACTGTAGGAAAGGTAGAATGTAAAAGAAATTTAAGTGATGGATCTGGAAATATATGTAGGATTGGATTCAAGAACAGAAGCAAGGTTACAAGCAATCAGACTTAGCTAGTCAGTGCATCCACAGGTACGTAAACAAATTTGCTTTTCTTACTGTTATGGCTTTATTTTTTGGTGAACATATCCATTTTTGTTATTTATATCGTCCTAAATGTTTTCCTATTTTTCTCTTTCTTCACCGTGCAATATGTCAGATACAAGATTTATATAGAAGGATCTGCATGGTCCGTGAGTGAAAAATACATTCTGGCCTGTGATTCTGTTACGTTACTTGTAGAACCCCACTACTACGATTTCTACACCAGAGGTTTGATGCCGCTGAAACATTACTGGCCCGTAAAAGACAATGACAAATGCCGATCTATCAAGCATGCTGTTGACTGGGGCAATACTCACCAACAAGAGGTAATCTATCATCTGACCCCAGCTCTATTTTCAAGTTTGACTGCCAATTCACCTGAAAATTTCGATGCTATAAAATCATGTCTTCACCATCTTATTAGTGTTCTTCTCTAAATTAGTCACTAGAATCGATTGATGCATCAGACCATTTTAGTGTTGTCTGTATTCTCAACACCCAAATTATGCTTGAAGAATGAGGAAAGTATTCGTAACTTAAGTTTTCTCAGGTTCAGTTAAAAACGAAATGACCATACTTTTAGATGTCAGGAATACATATTGACACACATGCATTAATGACACGTAAATTAATTTCTACTGCAAATTCTCATATTTATGCTCTTAATAGAATATCAAGCTGAATCAGTGATAATTTTCCTGCGACCATGTTTTATCATGTTTAATGATGACTTTGGTGAATAAAATAGGCACAGGACATTGGTAAGGCAGCAAGCAATTTCATTCAAGAACAGCTCAAAATGGATTATGTGTATGACTACATGTTCCATCTATTAAGCGAGTACGCAAAGCTCTTGAAATACAAGCCTATTGTACCACGAAATGCAGTAGAGCTTTGTTCAGAAGCAATGGCATGCGCAGCTGAAGGAGTGACAAGGAAGTTCATGTTAGAATCTCTCGTTGAAGGCCCCTCGGATGCAATACCGTGCACCATGCCACCTCCCTTTGGTCCTGCAGGTCTTCACTGTATTCTTGATAGAAAAGAAAATTCAATAAAACAAGTTGAATCGTGGGAACAACAATACTGGAAGAAAGAAAGCAAACAACAGTGAAGAGTTTAGGTTTTCTTACTCATAGCTTACAGGGTATATTTTGTTAATAAGAGTTTTTTGTATTAATCATCTAACACAATGAAGGAGCACGAACGATAAATCCTGGTGTTGGGAGAGTATATGTGTAGGAGAAGACAATTCAGCTACAGCCTTTTCCTTTTTTAGATATTAATATAATTTGCAGTTCAGTGGCGACGTTCAGTGGGAACACAATGGTATCTAGTTAGGATTTAAGCTATATGCATACAGTGTAAGATTTTTCTACTAAAGAGTTACTTACAGTAGAGTTACTTACAGTTAGACCTGACTGAAACCGTTAGTGTATAGAAGTTAAACTCGTCAAGGTTTTCCAAGAAGGTTCGTGTGGTGAGGAAGACTTTGAAGAGGAGAAAAATCAAATACAGTTGCATACGTTCTGCAAAACTTTTATGACAGCTAGTAAATGGTGTTGGTAAAAAGAAAATGCAATGGGATTAGTTAAACTAAAACGTGTTTTAGTATATTCAGATGCATTTCAGTCTATAAGTTGTTTTAGTAAATGTTGTATGCATATCTTAAACAAGTTATCCATAAGAAGTTGTCATCACTAAAGTTGACACGCAAAAAGAGCACAATCAGATGTTTTATTTAAGAGCAACAATTAGAAAAAAGCCACCAATTGATATATGATTTTTGTCTATTTAAGAGTCGGAGATGCTAAGGCAAAGGAAGATGGAACTGAAACGGAATGCTGCTATGTTGTTGCAGCATTCAGACTACAGAGTAAGGCACATAATATTACATCAACAGATACACAGATCAGTGTATAATATGAACACAGGCAAAGATGCTGGTGGATTAAGGCTGGAAATGTTAAGGTAATGAGACTCAATAGGCTCGTGCTTTTACAATGTCAAAGCTCATTTCACTAGGATCTGTTGCTTGCAACTCAACTTGAATTCCGTCCAGTTCTCTCTTGAATCTATCCTTTGAGCTCGCGTACACCATCTTCATCCTCACCCTTGATGTTTCAGGTGACCTAAAATTCATGACAAAGTAATTAGAACAACGCTATTCGATGCTATCTATCTGAAACCCAAGCCTTAGGCGCAAGTAAACTCAGTGCAGAATCAGGAACTTCCCCAACGGTGTTCAAACTTGAAGAAAGTAAAAAAATTCCATGACAAAAGGTGTTCAATATATGTTATATACCTCTAAAACCTAATATTTTATCTATATACACAGTGTAGTTTTTCGACGAAGGGATAATATAGTTTCGCCACTGAGTAAACTAAGAAGAGTTAAGTTTCATGCATCGATAGTTTGTTGCATTTTTACGCCCTCAGGTGAAGTTTACCTATTACAACAGGTATCTCTTCATAGTAATATGATAATCTGAAATAAAGTGGCAATTATACACTATCAAGTCGTTAGATAAGCAAAAATAATCCTAGAATAAATATTTAGTATCACCTATCTCTTATTTGGTTCTAATCCTGGGATAACGGATTAAAAATAATAGTGGGATAAATTACACCTACCAGAGGATGAAATAGTACAATCAATAAAAAATAATACCAGTATAACTTGTCTTAAAACCAAACGACCCCTATAGGTATTAGCTGGTAAATTGAATGACAATGTAATAAAACTATAATCTGTCAGTATATATAACTTAAATTCAACTAGTAATTACCAAAGTTGAATTTGCTGGAGAGGAATGAAGACAAAAAAAAGGATGAAAAGGATACCAAGCAATGAAGAAAATCTTGCTTTTCTGGCAATTTTCATTAGTTATGAAGTCCAAATCAAAGACAGCATAGCGACATTCATCGGCAGGCAGAGAGTTAGAGAAATCTTCATAGCTTTCTTCAGGGCTGCCAAGCTTCTCTACCACCACTTCCTGGCCATCAATCTTGAAAATAATGAACCTGTAGTTTCTCTTTGCTTTTAATTCCAAGAATTTTAGCTTACATTCATCTTGTACTGCCATTCCAGAAACAGCATTCGCCTGCCCATATATTTAAGTCATGAATTAGAGAAAAACAAAATGAAAACACAGATAATGAAAAGTCATTACAGCAAAAAACCACACGGGTCCTCCTCATCAGAATAATAATTAACTGATAAATCCTAAAGAAAATCAGTTTCACAGACAATGAATTGTTTACACAACTATTGACAGATGCATGCAACCAACCAAGATGAGCAGATCCAGCACCTTTTCCCCAGTAGATGCAGCATTAGGTTCATAGTACAAACACATGCTGACATGCATGCATACCCAGGGGCGAACGTAGCCTTTCGACTACGGGTTCAACTGAACCATGACTTTCGACACGGAGTATGAATTTTATACGTAAAAACCTACTAAAATTTCAACAAATATTACGATGCAATGCTAAAAATCTTAAAAGCTGAACCCATTAAATTTAAATCCCGAATTCGCCTCTGTATAGAGTTGAAATTTCTGTATCATTGACTTGAAATCCTGAAAAATGCCAACCAAGATCACATTTCCAGGCCAAAGTAAAGGCAACCCCTTCCATCAAAGCACCAATTATTTTTCCTGTTTCAGTGCTTGTTTTCCATATGATGAGAAATTTCTTATGGACCAGCTCCACGGATCAATTGGATGCCATTTCAGTTGAAAATATCCGAATTTGTTAAAAATGGAACAAGAATAATACAGAAAATGATGAATAACATAAAATGATCTGAGAAAAGGAAATGAAACACAAAACAAGGGAAAAGAAGGAAGATACTATACCATGGTGTCCTGGAATGAGATAGGTAAGGATCTCTGCAAAATGGATAGGAAAAAAAGAAAAGGGATGGGGGGATAAAGGAGAAAATGGTAGAGAATAGAGTTGAATGGAATGGGGATAGAGATCCTTGAATCCGTAAGAAAGGATACGTGAGCTGGTTTATAAAACATGAGAGAATTACGGAGAATAAAGAGGGACAAGACAACATTAAGAGGTTGAGAGTTATTTTCTGAGGCTCATTAATTTAGTCACCTTGTCCACGACCACTCTTTGGTCATGCCTGTTGCAGTTTGCACGACAGTCGTTATTCCTGTTACATTAGGACATTTTGCACTTTATCATGTTGACTTTTTTTTTCTTCCACTACCTTATTTCTTTTATTTTTCTTTTTTGCCCTTCCAAATGGTTTGAATGGCTCATACTGCAGACGTATCCTCATGGCTTTAGATTTGAGTAGGGTAGTAACATAGTAGGGTAGTTAGTTTAGTGTTCTCCTTGTCGTACCGGTAGTATTAGCACGTACTTTCGTATTCTGTTGGTATTAGATTTCTATGACTACATATCGTCTCTTTCATTTCGGTCTGACTATCTGATTGTTATTTATGTTGCTTTTACATGGCTTCTCGCTGTCGCGCTTTTGTTTCTCTTTATTAATGTGATGCTTATGCTTCTCTATGCGGAGGTTTATTGGAAACATCCTCTTTATCTCCATAAGGTAGAGTTAAGGCTGCATACACACTACCCTCTCCAGACCCCACTATGTGGGATGATACTGGGTTTGTTGTTGTTGTAAGTTTAATATTAAAAACGATCATATAAACTTATTATCAGGATAAAATATTTCATTGGATAACGAAGACAAGATATATTCATTTTTGTGGAAAGAAAAATGCATATACACGACTCAAATGAAATAATATCAGAGTCTGACATTACTATAAGAGAATTATAAATTACCTACATAAGGGAATAAGTAATAAAATACAAGGACATCTCAATGTTGCCACTTCAACAAGGCCTTATTGACCTAAAGAAATGTACCTTCCGATGGAAATCCACAAAGTTAAAATGATAAGCACGAATCTACTCTGTTATGCTGCTATCAACCAGAAATTCTTGACATCAAAAATGATTCTCATAACATATACTATGCAGTGCAGATGAGCATAACATCTATTTGTGAGAAAGAAACAGGTGGATAGAAGTAGAACTGGGAAGAATGCAATTCACCTACGAACTGATGGCGAGTAGATTGATCACTGAAATGGTCCTATGCCTTTTCGTCAAAACTCAAAGGACTCCGTTAGGCATTAGCTGCTCCCAGCAGCAACTCTCAAACAATTTGTCATTAAGTGTTTCATTTTCTGGCGTATTTTATGTCCAAGATCCTCATTAACTAGAGGAGAAAAGAATACTGCCAAATGTAAATTTAAAACGGATTGCAGTTATCGGACAAGACATATTCAATAGATTGCACTTCAGTTACAGAATCACCACTTCTACCAGAGATTCACTCATCCTACAAAATTCACAACTTTAGGTTCTTTTTTCTTCTTTAATTTAACATCACCATTTTCATGAACTTCCTCTGCCATGAAGTCATCTTCGAGATCATCCCCGCCGCTGAGTTTGGTAACTTGTCCTCTTGGCCGATCCTCAAATTGAACTGCCAGAAACAGGAAAAGTCGCAAAAAGGAAGTGCAAAAGTGTAAGAATTAAAACTGAACCAACACTAACAAGCAGCATCTGCTGCCACCAAACTAATGGCATATAGTAAAAAGAAATATATCACATCATGTTTTGGAATCAATTAAGGAGCAAACAAGCATCCACCAAAGTTATTCACATGTCAGCCACTTATGTCATGACACATCTCTTCTATAACAATCACCCACACAAGCCAATTAAATGCACTGCTTCATTGCCACATTTGACACAAATTCATGGACATGGAATTGTTGGAGTGCACGATTATATTATAACAGAACTAGATTGACTGCGATATGACCTACTCTCTCTGTCTCAATTTATGTGAAACTCTTTCCTTTTTAGTCAGTCGCGAAAAGAATAACACCTTTCTATATTTAGACCACATGTTTCAAAAATCTTTCTTTCTTTCTTAAACTCCGTACCTAGTCAACGTCACATAAATTGGGACGGAGGAAGTATTAGGCATTCAACTATTTGGAACAAACATGAAAAACAAACAAACTGTAGCTTGATTAGTTATCTTCTGCTACAAAGAAGTTGGCTTGGCTGTGCCGTGACCAAAATTGTTCCACAGAGACACGGAAAGCAAGAAAATTTCTGATGAAGTTGTCACTGTCATTATACCATCAAAGACTAAACAAGTAAGACTAGGCCTTGTACCAAAAAAAAGAAAAAAGAAGAGAGTGAGTGGTTCAGTTCATAGAGTTCATATGCAGCCTGGCTAAATCTACAACAGTTGAGGCCAAAATGATTATGTATATAGGACATGAGCCAAGCTGAATAACAAAGAAGTTAGAGAGTGAAATATGTGCAGTGATAGCATATAAGTAAAGAAGTCAAAGCATATAAAAAGGTATAATGATTGTATGGTATGTAAAATGATAGCATACAAAAGTTGCAGCCTGCAGGTAGCATTTTTTTTTTTCCAGATGCAAAGGCAAAGTAGATGTCTCGAAGAACAAATCAATGGAATAATACACGAAAATACGTACAAGCTTTAACTCTACCAAAGGCCCCTTCAGAAGCTTTGCCGGTTTTATTAGGACAATCTTTTGCCAAATGTGTAACACCGCCACAAATTTTGCAACAACCACCCTGCAAAAAAAGACATCAAAAACTTGAACTTCTAACCTCCTGTAAGACTTAATTTTTTAAGTTTCCTTCTCAGAAATGAGCTTGTTTTAGGCTAGAAATAAACACGAAGGGTATTGAACCAGCATCAGAAGGTAGTTGTGAAGTGATTGAAAATGGTGTCTGAAGCCAATCAAATATATGTACCTTTGGGTATATACCATGAGTACTTTTAGGGCAATTCTTACTCAAGTGACCTTGTTCTTTACAAATAAAGCAATTGGCAAACTTTGTTCCTCCTGCATAATTAAGAAAACAACATGATATTACTAATAAGAGAAACAAGAAGAAACTTTCTAAAAGAAGTGATATTATTGTTCGTCGATTTTGATGGACCCTTGTAACACAAGGGCAACTCAATTTGGAATAGCAGACATATAGCAAGAATTTTGCGTATCCTTTTTTGTGTAGCTCTTATACTCACTGCTTGTATACATTTCGTTTCCTGTCTCCGCCAGAGAATTCTGAATGAGAATTATTTTATAACTCGGAATCAGTGTTATCAAAGGCGAAAAATGCAAAATAGCTCTAAGTTCCGTCAGGGCTTTAAGCGCAAAGTGCAATTAAGGCGTGGGCTTTAATGAAAAAAGGTGCAACTGGAGAAAAACTAAAATATGTATATGTAGTCCAAGATCAATAATTATAAGCATGAATAACAAATATATGGACAAAAAAATTAAAAAAAATTTACGATAAAGTAAAATATCGATTCTAGTGTTGCCTTTACAGGTTTAAACTCATTGGCAAGGAAAAATATGCCTTAAAGCCTTGATGCGACATTGAAGCGCCCACAAAGCGAGGCGAAGCGCTCAACATGGTTTGAGCCTCGCCTTTAGGGCTTAAGCGTGCCTTTGACAACAGTGTTCGGAATTAACCCAATTTGTGGCAGCTCCTGACTTTGCAAGTATAGATACATGGAGAACCACTGTTCAAGACAGCAATATCCAGTTCACCAACTATCCATGACCCCGCCAGTTGGTTAAGCGTCTTATTTAGTACTTTAGCGTTAAACTATTTGAGGCTTAAACACTTCCATACTTTGCATTACTAAGTTAATACATATTACATAGAGTACATGGAAAATAAAGGGCCACTAATGAAAATAAAATGAGAAGGGCAAGAAAAAGCTGGAAACATGAAAAAACGCTATGCATGCCCAAATAAAAAAGAGTAACAGAAAATACATTGTACACAAAATGAAGAAACGAGATATTTGATAAGTTCAAAGGCAATATACCATCTTGAAGCGGATAGGGGCAGTTAGACAACGAATGACTTGTTTCCCCACAATTGTAACATAACTTTTTATCCACCTTTTCATCATCTTTGTTGGGGCAATTCTTCAGGCTGTGACCGCGCCGACGACAAAGCAAACATATCTTCATAAACGCATATCAAACAAAGAAGCATCAATCAGTATGAGAGCAATAATATGCTTCTAATGTAGCAAAACATTAACATTGTGCAGTGAACGTAAAATTAAAAGACTAAATAGCTTCAATCCAATTTGGCCATCTCTGGTATGACTTGAATGTTTTTGGCAGACTCGGTTAAAACGTTTTACCTAAGAAAATCATTTCCTAAGTCATTTGTCAATATCTCATTGGGCACAAAAGTTGGTGGAATCAGTGGCTGTGGACACTGGGATTGGGCACGGAGTTGTAAAGAATGAATAATATCTTGCAAATGATATGGAGTGTATATTTTCTTTTTTGGTTAGTAAAAATAGCAAATTATGGAATATTAAGCTCAAAGAGACTGCAACACAGATTTACAGAAAAATAAAGAAACTAAAAATTTAGCCCAAGGAAAAAAGCATACCTTATTCTTTTCCCATTCAGCTTTCCTAGGACAATCCTTGGCAATATGGTCGTGTTCTTTACAAATAAAACAGCTTTCGCCAGGCTTCATTCCAGCGACTCTAAAAGGGTGCTTTGTATGTAATAAACGCTTCTTATTAGGATCTCTAACATCTTTGGATTCTCCTTTTCTCTTCTTAAAATTGCTATTTTTCTTCTTTTTCTTGTTCGGGTCTTTGGGTGGAGTTGGTTCTGGCTTGGGGAATAGTTCCGGGTGTTCTTCCTTGTATCGCTTTCGAGCTAATTTCTGCCTTTTGCTCACCATTTTTCTTAGAGTATCGCTTTTCTGGCTGATATTAACAGTTGCCTGTAGCTCCAAGGTGAATACTATGAAGGTAAGGCTGCAAGTTGAAGACGAGGGTTTTGTGATGTTTTAGATACCAAATTCGACATTACGGCCCGATTTCGGACCGCACCAAGCTCCATGGGTTCTCGGATTCGGGGTAAATAATAGGCTAAGGGCTCATTTGGTACTGGACATAAAGAATAATTAATTCCGGGATTAAATTTGAGATGAGTTTATCCCACATTTGGTTGGTATCAAATCATGGCATAACTAATCCCTGCATTAGTTATCCCGGGATTGTAGTGTTACTTTATCTCCATGGGAGGGCAGGATAACTAATCTTGAGATAATTCATCATAGTATAACTTGTTATCCAACCAAATGATCCCTTAAGGCTCGTTTGGTACAAGGAATACGGGACAATAATCCCGGGATTAAATTTGAGATGAGTTTATCTCACGTTTAGTTGGGATAAAATTGCGGCATAACTAATCCGGATCCTGAGATTATATTTTTTTTAATCCATACGGAAGTATGGGATAATAATCCCTAGATAATTAATTCTGAAATTATTATCCAGGAATAATTTATTTTCCAACCAATTGATCACAATGATAAAAATGGCCCCTTTGCAGTGGTAAGTTTAAATAGCACTCTTTGATCCTTTTTTGAGCGGTCTTGGTACTTTAAATACTTTTGTCCTCATAAAAAAAATTAACAAACTCTGCTTGTTAGATTTAATTGAAATTATGAAAAGAATGATTACTAAAAGCACCATAAACATCCCATCTAAACCTACATCAAATACTAGATATAAATAAAAAATAGTAGAAACTACACTTTTTTTAAATAAAATTTCCTAGATGTTTGGGGAGTTGTATTAACTGGAAAAAGTGTACAAGAGGAAGACTAGACCTTACCTTCAAAAATACAACAATAGGATAAAAACTTTATCCTACAAAAAACAGGGTAGTGGTGGGCAAAAATAACTATATCCGGCGAATCGGTAATGTGATTTAGCTAACAAAAAAGTTGGCCTTGTTGAACCTTGATCTTAAGCTTGGCATCTGCCCATTATCCAATTGGTAAAATCCTATAACTTCTCTTGGAAGTTGCATAGCAGAGAGATATAGAGAAGCTTCATTATCATTACTTGCATGCTTTGCTAAGTAATCCGCCACATAATTGGCCTCGCTAAAGTAGTGGGTGAACTTGACATTAGTATGTTGCAACTCTTTGAAGTTACATCAACTATCCTCTTCATTTTGTAGTTGTTGATAGTCTTTTTTTAGCATATTTATAAAAATTAGAGAGTCCATCTCCAAAGTAAAGTTCGTGCATCCATTATTAGGCACCAATTGACACCAAACTCGGCAGTTGAAGCTTCAAAGATATTGTTACTGCTACAGGTGATTGGACACGAGAAGACCATGATACACACCTCCCTTTCATCTCTTAGAATACCACTTATTCCAGCCTTACCAGTTTGAATGATATAGCTACCATCAGTGTTCAATCTGAGTGTACCTGGTTCAGGTTTTTGCCAACAAACAACAATACACTTTGAGATAGGCTTCATTCTCATCATTTTACCACACTGGTTGATCCATGGTAATGCCAGGTAGCAATTGGGGAATTCCTTATTGATAGCTAGCTGTATAGTCCAACTAATTTGTTGTTTTGAAAAGCTTAAATCTTTTTTGACCACCATACTTGCAAGCTCAATTTTCCTTCCGAATCTCCCATCAAATTATAATTGGAAGTGCCTGCAAAATAAAATTTTGAATTGTATTAGTAGCTTTACATTGCCATCATGAGTTTAGAAGATACCTGATAGCTCCAAAAAAATTTCAAATATAATTTGTAGCACTTCCTTCTATAAAGACATGATGCATAATGTCGATTTTGCGGTTGATACAACAATTACATCTAGAAACTGTGTTTCTCCCAAATCTGTTCATGGTTTCATCAAAAGGACATTTCTTGTTCCACAGTCTCCATGAAAGAAAGGAAATTTTAAAAGGAATACTAGTATGCCACACATTGTTAAGCAGGTGATCCTTTGATCTTCTGGTCCTGTTCATATGCCAAGTTGAGAAGTTAGAATATCTTCCATCTTCAGTCAAGTTCCAAATAATATGATCCTTCTCATATGGATTTCCTATGATAATGCTTCTAACATAGTGGATATCACTAGGGGAAGTAACTTCACTGAGCTTTTGGATATTCCAATGCCCATTGGTGATGAAGTGGATAACCATCACTTTAGTACTTTTTCTCACTTGTGAAGTGATTGGATGAATTATTCCTTTTCCTGTCCAATTATCAAAGTAGAAAATATTGTTGCCTAGATTAATCTGCCAGTCGTGTTGGTTTCTGCCTTCTTTCTGGACTGCAGTAATCCTTTCCATTGATGAGAATCCTTAGAAGTTCACACTTTGGTGCTAGGATGAAGCCGATACAATATTTATTTCTAAGAAAGTCTGACCATAAAGATGGAGTGGCTCTGAATCTCCACTATCTCTTGGTGGCCAGTGTATCACTGATTTCCTCCATGCTTCTAATACCAATTCCTCCTTCTTCCTTACGGAAACGTATTTTCTTCCATGCACTCCAATGATACTTATTGTGCTCACTACTTGATCCCCAGAAGAAGTTAGCAAAATGCCTCTTTAGTTGTTTCAAACTGCCCTTAAGGGGACACATAGCAGAAAGAGTATAGGTAGGAAGGGACTGAAGCACATTTTTGATAAGAACAATTTTACCTCTATGAGATAATATTTTACTATGCCATCCATTGAGTCTCTGAACCACCTTGTTGACCATACCATCAAAATATTGAATTTTCTTCTCCCCACATATAAAGGGCATCCAAGATAAGTGAGAGGAACTATTTATCCAACATGCTGGTGCAGTCTCTAATTTTGTTAATTCTGGTGGCATTTTAGGAGAAGTCAGGAAAAAGCTTTTGTTCTTGTTGACTTTTTGCTCAGAATCAAGCTCATAATTCCTGAATGACTTCATGATGATATTGATAGAACTACTCTTGCCACTACTGAAGATTACAATATCATTAGCATAGGCCAGGTGATTGATTTGAGGACCCTTTTGTGGCATAGAGAACAATACTAAATTGTCACTAAGAAGTAAGTCATAAAGGGATAGGGAAAGAACTTCGGCAAAAATGATAAATAAGGAGGGAGATAGAGGATCCCCCTATTTAAGCCCTTGTGAGGAGGTGAAGAAACCATTTCTAGAGCCATTAATATTGATTGAATACGACATCCCCGAGATAAGATTGTAAATTAAATCAATCCAAGGTTCAGAGAATCCAAATTTTCTTAGAACAATTGTGACAAAAGGCCATTGCATTCGATCATAAGCCTTGGCCATATCAAGTTTAATCACTACATTGCCTCCTTTTTAGGCTGATTCATGTCATAAGTTATTTCTTGTGCCAATAAAACATTCTCTGTCATAAGTCTATCTTTGACAAGCCACTTTGGCATTTATAAATCAATTTGGGTAATAGGGGATTGAGTCTAAGAGAAATGACTTTAGATAATAACTTATTGGTGAAGTTGGATATACTAATTGGCCTAAACTTAGAGAAAGTAGTAGGAGCATTTACTTTGGGAATTAAGGCAAGACAAGTATGTGAGAAGAATTTGGTAAGGTTTTTACCATTGAAAAAATACAGGACATAATCTAAGATATCAGTTTTGATGATGCTCCAGCATTTTGAAAGAAAGTACTATTATACCTATCCAGGCCTATTGTACTCGAAGCACTAAGACTAAAGACAACTTCTTTAACTTCTTCTTCATTGGGCAAAACTGTCAGCATATCATTGTCTTCTTCAGAAATGCTACTAAGAATGCAGTCTAAGATGTTGGGGTTAAGAATACACTTAGGAAGATTAAATATGGATTCAAAATGCTTCACTACAGCTCTGGATATCTTATCATTCCCTTTGATCCATCTTCCTCTATCATTCTTAATTTTGTTTAGCTGAAGTTTTCTCCTCTTCTCTCTAAGCAAACAATGAAAACACTTAGAGTTACTATCACCCTCTTCATACCATTTGATATGAGATTACTATTTAAGCACAGATTCTTACATGCTAAGCCACTTGATGTATTCTTCATGAACTATGCTAGACTCTTCTCTAGTCTGTATGAAGCGTTGGTTAAGTCCATATCTTCCATTTCTTGAACTTTTTCCTCCTATTTGATCATTTCATCATTAATATCACCCAACTCATTTCTGGATCAATGACTAAGTTTTTTGTTGAGATTTTTGAGCTTAGTCTGGAGTCTCCACATTAGATTATCATTAACCTGAACCTCCCAAACTTGTTTTACCACATCAAAGAAGCCATGTTGATCCACCCAACAATTAAGAAATCTAAAGTACTTGAATATAGGCTTATTGGTGTCCTAACATTTCATAAGGAGAGGTCTATGATCAAACCCTGTCATGACAATATGTCTTATGAATCAATTCTGAAATTTTTGATTCCAAATATCATTTGTAAGAACCTTATCCAACCTCTTCCATATTCTCTTACTAGGTCTCATATTGTTATACCATGTAAATTTGGGACCAGAGAAGCTAGTGTCAGTGACCCCACAAGTATCCATACAGTTGATAAAATGAAAACTTCTATGGATTCTGTGTGGTTTACCTCTAAATTTTTTACTGATATCTAAAATGATGTTGAAATCTCCACTGATACACCATGGAGAATTAACGCTATAGCTTAAGCATTCTAAGTTGTCCCAAAGAACCGTTCTTTCTGCAGAAGTGCATTTAGCATAAACAGATGCGGTAAAGACCCAATTGTCGTCAATCCCATTGTCAAACTTAATAGTAACATGTTGCTCCTCACTAGCACAAATAAAGGCATTAGAGTTGCTACTCCAGAAGTACCAAATTTTACCGTTATCATTAGAGATGCAATTATGAAAGCCCAAGAACTTCCTGTAGCTATTAGTTTTATTCTTATTCACAAAAGGTTCAAAGACAACAACAAACTGTGCTTTATTGATGCAAATAAGATGATTTAATCTGTGGATTGCTTTTTTGGATCTAACTCCCCTTATATTCCAGAAGATTGCACTA